GTCAGCGCTGAAGATGTGCTCGTGTCGTCGCCTTTTGGGCAGTTATCTTTGGTGAAAATCACGTTTCGTTGCGTCAGCGTAATGAAAGCAAGATTACTTGTGCAATTTTATTGTTTTCTCGTGAATTAGATTTGCCTAGCAGATTTTTCCGTTTGCACCATCTAACGTCATCCCCGATCTCCAACCTCATATATTATGTCGCGGGTTCAGCCGTGGAACGGTTGGTAAACTGAAGAGAAATGGAGAAATACACGGTGAAGTCGTGAATGAGAAATCTCTGGGACTATGGAGAAGCTTTAGTTTGATGACAGGACTTGCTTCAATCGAAGCTTGCATTAAAGATTCTAGCAGACGAACCTTTGTAAAGGTCAATTTTGCTTTAGTCCGTCGTCCGTTTGTAATCCCGAAGATGCTGGGTTTTTCGGTGTGCAACAGAGGCTACGATGGTAAGAAAAATACTTTGAGTAGTCTGTGCATGACACCGTGAGTCACCCTCCAGTATAAAGCAGATATCCCTCGCCACATCATTGAGGAAACTGGTCCGGTTGCAATCAACAATGTGGATCTGAAAACATCGAAAAATATTTCGAATGATCCAGATAACGTCTGAGACTGAATACCGGAATTGAGCCCTTTATTCACCTTCTCTATCTGGTTGATTAGTTTATGGTGATTCAGTTCTTCGAAACCTTATAAAGATCATCTTCACAGAAGAGTAAATCCACGTCCGGAGACAAGGCTTTCTCGTGTAAAATTAGAGTTTCCTTCAGGAAGGTGGCCGAAAATTTCTCAAACCTATACTGAAATGCAACCCAGCATCTGGTTAAGCGGTAACTATGCGCAATCCCTATATGCACACCAAAATATTTCCCCGCAACTTCATTAGGAACATACGAAAATGTTGTAGAAATTGACGGTATTTATTCGAAGCCTCAAAACTGTATAGCCGGCTGCAGCTTTATTTCAAACTGACTAGAGCCTCTTCGATTACTCTGGGTAATATGGCTGCTATTCAGTCTCATCATCCAGATTGTCCGAATGAGTGTCTGGAGGTTTAGGCATCCCCAAATGACGGCTTCAGGTGAACCCCCCAACATTCAGCTGTTTTGTTTATTTCACAATAAGTCGTCCACCTAAAAGCTAAATATACGAGAACAAAATACCATTGGCGAACATCCCCTTCAAGGCTAATGATGTTGACGATGATGACGATGGTGAGAAAAGACCGAATCACTTGATTTTCTCCACTTTCTCAGACCAGGGGGCGGACAAACCCATATAATCTCACCGTACACATGTGTAGCGGATTTAGAGGTGGAGCTGTTAACAATCTAACAATATTGCTCCAAATGAACCGTGTTTGCAGTGTTTAACGGAGGCTGATATTCTACTGTAGAAAACAAAAACCTCAACGGCAAGAACATTAGGGGCCTCTCGACTTGGATCACAAATTCGTGGATGCTAACAGTGTCATCAAATCATGTCGTTCCACAACTCACTGGACGACGTCTAGATCGGTGGTAACTTTCGACACATTCAATCTGGGTGCCACGATTCAGCATCTATCAAAGACCAAATACGGAGTAAGTAGCTTGTTTTGGGACGGTATCGCGTCAGTTACAAGTAATTTGCATCACGATTTGACTGATCAGCGGAGCGGAATTTAAACGGAAATATTGTTATGTCGGTTCACAGGCGTTCTTTATATCACAAACAGGACTTGTGAGCAGCTCGTCAAACCTCTGGCACACTTGCAAAACCCGAATTTTCGATTGGAAGTAATCATTTGATACGACAGCTTCTGTGAGTTCGTATCATTTATGGTTCATTCTATCGCAGTTATCAAAGCTGCTCCATGCATTTTGTCCGAAATAATTCGGACGCAACTTGAACAGTTAATCAGCTGCACAAGTTGATGAGAGTTTCTTGTCGACAAAGATGTTCACTGGATTCAATAACGCAGAAGAAACCCGGAAGAAACCAAAAGCCAGGAGTACGCTATTTTGGTATTCAGGTATTCAGGTACTGATTCTAGTCAGACTTCCAAAAGATGGGGTTCTCGCGGGTTCTACGACTTTACCAGGGAGAGATGCAATCCGCTTTTTTCGGTTGCATGAGAATAGTTTGGAATCTTTGTTGAGGCGTTTTTCCTGGATGCAAAGTTAATGTGCGCTCAAAGGCTGAAATGAACTGTAATTTTGTTTCATCCTTACTGAAAATTATCAGCTGTGTGCATCTCACGAAATTCCAGTTAGTTTCGAACTGAACCCGCGACGATCAGGCTTGTAGTTTCAGCAGTTGACCGTTTGGCCTCTAGCAGCTCTTCATCAGTGCGAATAAATCTCCCTAAAACAGGACATATCACCACCGACGGAAAACCACAACATGTGGTTTCGTGTGGAGTGGCGCCCCGAGAGACCACTTCTTAGAAGTACTTTCTCATCCAGTGAAATTATCCTTCCTCTGAATTGCTCATAGTTTTACCGTATATGGATGAGAGTTGATCATATTCGGCGGAAATTAACATTTACTTATTACGTCAATCTTCGGTGAAAGACTGTAAAATCGTTTCATTCTAGTTGGGAATCTTCATCAATGTGCACCCCACAAAATCTACGAGAAAACGCATGAGGAAAATTTCGGTAATATTGGAGACCGTCAGGAAAAGACTGGAGCTTACACTGGTGTGACGGTTTACGCACCTCATCGAACGATTGAGCTATACTGAAGGGTGTCACCGCAACAAACGTGTAGATTGGTTTTTGGTCTGTTCGCCGAGCTTGGCACTTCGATTGCAAACGTTTCATCACCATTCGAGTTGACATCGTCAATGCAGGGTTCAGTGGGTTTGCAATCCAACTGACAAGCTCGGCGAACAGATCAACAACCAAACTACTCACCCGAGCTACCATTATTCCACAACATTGCTAATCATGTAGTCACTCATACCGGGTGGGTCAATGGCTAGATATGTGACGAACACAGTCTTGTGGTCCTCGATGATGAAGGTTCGAACACGTGGCGACTGATTCCATAGAAATGGTAATGCAGTTGATTTTCCCAACAAATGCCGCTGTATTGTGGTAAGGAGTTTGATCGAAAGCCCTTGTTTGGGCACCCTTATCGTACTCCACTCTAGGTGTAAGTGCGCTAGGATTATGAGAGCCAAGTATAATTATGAAATATATCTGCAAATTCTGCCGACACTAGGTGCCATCGGGTTGTTAAACTTGAGATTTCTGAATGCATGACGAAATGAGGCGAAAATGAATCTTACGACTAAACCTGCTTTTTAGCCGCACCATGTTGGAAAAATGTTCCAGGATTCCTCAGTAGCGTAGATTGTAATGATTTGCTGACTCAGTCAGGTCTCACAGCTCTCAACAAAGACCACCGGCGTAGCTACGGTATTTGTCGTTTCCATGACCAGGTCCCCTCCAGGATTGCAAACCAATGTGAGCAAATAATTGTATATTGCTTTTTAAAATCAAGTATTTTGTATTTGAAATTAATATACGGTGGGCCTCTTAAGCTAAACACACTGGTCTGTTACTGGCGTCTGCGTGGGGTTATATGAGAATCGTATGCAAATAGGTAACGCATATTGGTCTGGTCTGTAAGCATTCTTAAAAGTCAGTGGGTCATATTTTATTACCACTATGTTTTGCTGCGATGCGATTATTTCTCAGGTGTGGAAATGAACGACAGGATCAAATGTTATCAACGATGTCAAGGGAAAACCAAATTTCAGCTCCTGTAGGCACGTGATTGTTCTGACACTCGACGAAATGTTTGTGGTTCACAAAACCCCTGCCAGCCTTGAGTCCTGCTTCCTGTTTTTGGGCCTTCTCTCCAATTCCTTCGTCAAACGACCGAATTCGGGCTCAGGGAACATTCAAATCACAACGGCCGTCAAGTTAATTCAACGGAGATAGCTATACTCACTTTGTGCTCCATCGAGTCGACTCAGCTTGTTCAGGCAGCTTTTCCCTCAGAATAGGCAAATAATCTGCACAAACAACGATACGTTATTTCAATGCCATGGGGATTTGGAGTTGGCGAGAACCAGCAGCTTGATGACACTTCAATAAAGAATTGTGGGTATTTGTTCAAAGCATTGGATATTCCAACCTACATTGTCAGGATTCCATGCGAGAAACTGCTTTATTCATTCGATTGGTTGTTCAAAATTTTTATTCCAATTTAATCATGTTTTTTCTGTGTATTGCCGGCCCATGAGAGAACTCTTTGGGGCTGGCATGACGAAAGCATAACCCAAGAGTTTCTTGCTTCCTCCGACTCTTCAGCCATGAAAGCATCTCAACCGATGCAGGCGTTGTCTTTCCACCGGAAGACTGACTGTTTGTTGAGTGATATTTTATCCTCTATCTGGGGGACAGCTTGTCCCAGCTTCGAAGGAATTATGCGTTTTGTCCGACATCTGGTATTTCTTTCAAGTTTTCTGTACCATCCCTCAAGCTTAGTGCTCTTCATCTTGCAGACAGGGCTTTTCAGTAGAACGTAACACCAGGAGTCCCTTTGTCCGAGACGGACGTCAGAAACAAACATGTATCAGATCCTTGTTCATGCAGGTGTTTAAGAACGAACGACGCCACGCATGGCTAATATCAATATGGTCTGCCCTGCTGTGTTTTGGTTTGTGTTTAGGCAGTAAGTAGGGAGGATGACTTAGGAGCCTGTTTACGGTATACTCCCCAAGCTGGTGCAAAAAGGCGACTGTCGGGTCATTCAATGAGAAGCCATTCGGGTCAGTGGCCGAGAACGAAACCGGCTCCAGTAGAACAACCAGCAGCGGCCTCCGGATCGCCATTGGTGCGCAAGTAGAAGTGAACAGAAACACATAAAGAGATCAGTTCAGCGACCGTGTTGGGATTTCAAATCCGCATTCCGTAAAATTCAGAATGCGAATCCGGCGAAAAATCATACCGCGCGGCTTGTTTTAGATTGGCAGACGGACTGAGGAATAATTTCGGAGCGTCTTAGGCTGTGGCGACCGAGGTAACCGCGTACATTGCAGTGAGGACAATGGGAGGCGAAGGAGGCAAATGAGCATAACGGATCTAGAAATGAGAAGGAAATGAGGATGAATTCAGCGGTAGGCTGCTTTCGCTTATTCTCCTCGCGATACATAGAAGACAGAACGCCTGGTTTGATGACAACAATTTCGGCTCTTGTGGCATGAGATCAATTGTGATCGGGTTGAGATACCACCAGTTTATGGAGAAAAGCCCTTCACCGGGAAGGCGTTCATTTGCAAACTTCAACTAAGCAGGTACAAACTATTGAACAGGAAGATGGCCGTCTCATATGCTCATAGTTTTCAATTTCCTTAAGAGTCCTTCTGAAATTTTGAGGCTATTCAGGGAATAATATGGTATTGAAAACGAACACGGCAAAGCGGTAGCACCTGTTCCGTAGTAAATCTCACCTTCCATTAGACGTGTAGCGGAGCTTCCAGAAGACCGCAGGGTACACTTATGACCCACCAGTAGTAGCCCGTTACAGGCGGACTCCCAGACACAGAAAGCAGCCCATTTACTGTCCTTGGTTAAGGCTTTTCTCCCAGAGGTCACTGCTGAACTGCTGGGTTTCCATATTGGTGGTGGATTGTGCGGAATATCAGTCGGTGGTTTCAACCGCCAAACTGGTCGAGGTCCTACCGTAGACCATCCTGGTAGGTGAAGAACTCTGAGTGTCACATACACGATCCTCGAATCGTCAGGCCCCTGTGAGGTCTCAAATTCTCTCTGATAAACTCAGGCACAGTACATTTTTCTTCGGAGGAGAAAAGCTGACATCAGTCTAAGGGGATTTGCTTACAGGATTCTTACAGGCGTGACTTTCATCTAGAACGATCGTAGATGGAAATTTCTAAGATCATTACTAAGGGTGATATCCGTAATCAACTAAGAGAGCGTAGTTGCGGATTGAACACAAGACTAGTCAAAACTGATCAACCTCTTTCACTCACACAATGAGCCACCGGTGGCCGGATGCAAAACTGATCTAGGTCAACACAACCGGATGTAACATTTAGGGGGCATGAGACGTTTATCGGTTTCCGTTTGCATTTCACACAATCACGCAATTTGAGGTGTTCCGGTTGTTTGCGCAAATACGCGTCAAACCACGTTCCCAAGTGGGGTGGAGCATAGCTATTTGCACCACAGATCACATACTAGTGGCCAAATGGCTCAGCCATCATCAAATGCTAGGAAGTACGCGGACTCAGCAGTTGCCCAATTCTACTTCCATTGGTTTACAAAGTAACGGCGCGATTACGCTCCATTGTTTCCATACCAGGGAACCCACATACAACATTTCAAGAGAATTATGGAAGCGGCTGAAATATCTAACCAATGGGACGCAATATTCGTTCAACCATGCAGAAAAGTGTCTGGAGAATCTTAAAAACGTGATAATCGAAGGAGACAAAATAATGGGGTCCTTTTGTGTAACCTCACTCTTCAGATCGTTTGATTTGAATGCAGCACGGACGACGGTCCCCGAATCCTTGGACAACTGCGGAAACAGCAACGGAACGATCGGAAAAGAAATATGTGAAATATTAGACCTGTGCTTGACAACTTCTTCGAGTTCAATGGAGAATATTACGAACGGATTCAGAGAGCGCCAATGGGGTCACGAATCTCTGGAGTAATCGCGGAAATTATAGTGCAGCCAGTGGAACGAACCATACCACCAGATATCAAATCGAAAATATGGGTACGACAGTCGCACGACACATTCGCTGTTGTAAAGAAAAATGAAATGCTGAACAACGTGTTTTCCGACATTCAATTCAAAATGGAAACGGAGCAGAATAACAAATTGACGTTCCTAGATGTGCTCGTAACATGGTAAACAAACGACCAACTACAAACTGAAGCATACAGGGAAGAAACGCATACGCAACAGATTCTGAATTGTCACAGCAACCATCCAAACTCCCACAAACGGAGCTGATTTTAAAGTCTATTCGAGCGGATAGAGACACATTGCAACAAAACAAAGGGAAGAAAATAAGAAGAACTAGATTCTTCAAGACACTCCGAAATAACGGCTACCCGAGGAATTTCATATGAATGTGCTTACGAGACCACCACTAAGCTGATCCGTCTACACAACCAAAACAGAGAAAGATTACGCTGCCGTGGCGGAGGTGAATGCACGACATCTACGGCAACATGGAATTGCGCTTGCCTTCACACCTACAAACACTTTGAGAAGAACATTTTTGAAAACAAAAGGGAGAGTTGGGTGCTTTGACAAAGACGAACGTGGGCTACAAACTTGAATGCAACGACTGCAAAAAACACTATATCGATCAAACGGAAAGAAAACTTGCTACGAGAACACACGAACACAATCCAGCCAGCAGAAGACATGACCCAATGTCCCTCGTCTCGATTTAGGAGGACAGGGAAGGACATAAGTTCAATTGGAATAATTTATAGATACTTGCTCACGCAATGACAAAATGGGAGCAAGAATTTGCCGAGGCGTGGTACACCGCACACTAATCGATCAATAAATACATCGACATTGACCCGTTCCCTCAGCCGTTACGAGCAAAACAATCACACAATCACGGGACCTGGAACCAAGAAACCTAACGGCAACTAACGGAATAATTGGGCCAAAGGAAGACAATCACAAAAAACAGAAGGCCGATGAATCAACTAATCAAACGAACAAAATCCATACCATGAGAGTGAGACCACGTCAGATTCACAGAAGATCAATCAAACCATACGAAAACAGTATCCAGAACTACCAGATAATGTGTGAAAGCTATAAAATCACAGGCAGAAGAGGAGGGATTCATCCAGTCAACCCTACACTGCCGATTTCACTTTTCTTGGTGATGCAACGTTTGCAAGCCAAGTTCCAAGCTCGGCGAACATAACAACAACACATGATGTCATTGCTGTTAATTTCAGACAACGACATATTAATCTAAGTTGTAAGTGTCTATTGACCAGCGAGGATACACCACACTAGTGGCAACTTGAAGATAAATTGAATGTGCTATTTGCTCTAGCGTTCTGTGGCATTCACAGTCATGAAACGTCAAAAAAATAGATTAGATTGCAAAATTTGTACGCGATGTTTACATGCGATCGTTTGCAATATCGTCGACGGCGAAGTTAAATATATTCTCCGGTGGAGCTTTGTTTGCACGCACGACTTGATACGCGTGGTAAACGTTCGGCTTAATGAGAATACAAATGACGGATTTATTGGGGTTGATTTGGTATAGAGTGAGGCATGGAGGCTCAAGAATCTAAACAGGGTATCTAGAGTAAACCATGCTTCGTGGAGTCTCAGCTCTCGCAACAGCAATTGGATGCATTACCCATGTCCATAAACTTAATTGTCTCTTACTCATGTGTGTCTCCGTTGAGTATTTGTTTGAAAGAGGGCATTGTCAAATTAGTTGTTAAATTAGTCATTTGAAGAACCGATAATTGATTGCTTGTGGTTCTGGCAAACGCAAACCGATAAACGTTTTATGCCCCCTAAATGTTACATCTGGGCGTGGTGACCTAGATCAGATGTGCACCCGGCCACCGGTGGCTCGTTGACTGAGTGAACAAGGTTGGTCATTTATTGAATAGTTATGTGATCAATCCGGAAATACGACCTCCCTATTGACTACGGATATCACCCTTATTATTGACCTTCGAAGATATTCCATCTACGATCGTTTTCGATGAAATCAACGACTGAAGGAATTCCGAAAACTAGTCATTCTTGCCTCCGGTGAATTTTGTCCTCGGAAATAGTTATACAATTTACTGTGCCTGTGTATTCCAGGCAGACATTGGATCTCATGGTGGCCTGATGATTTGAGCGGTGTATATGTGAAAATCACACAACCTCTCCTAATGGGATGATCTACGGCTAGACCTCGACCAGATTGGCGGATTGCACTGATGGAGCATGCATTTACCCTGCTGTCTTCTCGAAGCTCCGCTTCATGGCCAACGGAAGGTGAGATTTACTACGTAACACGTGGTAACTCTCTGCCATACTCGTTTCCAATAGCCTAATGTTTCTTGAATGGCCATAAATATGAGTATGAAACTTAAGTATATTCAACTTTTGAAAACTATAAGCAAACGTGACTGTCATTTTCCTGTTCAATAGGTTGTAACTGCTTAGTTCATCTTTGCTAATAAATGACTTCGTGGTGAAGGGATTTCCTGCCAACCAAACATGGATCACACGATTACAATTGATCTCATGCCACTAATTTCTGACACTCAATGCCTATTCAAATTTTGATTTAGCACGCCCAACACAAAGCAGCCTATGGAGCTTCGTGTTCGTGGTATATCATCATCATCACCATCATCGTCATCAACATGAAAGCGTGGTAT